AATCCATTCTATCCTATACATCTTATAGTTGACTTTTAAAGTTAAAATCCTTATATTTTACTTCATAAAATGTCAGGCTATGAACTCATGATCTTTCTAATAGGTTAAAATATATATACATTTCAATAAAGATTTAGTGTCCCTTATCTAAAATCCTAGGGACTGGAAGTGTTTGGATTTTAGATCTTTTTTTTTCATAATTTTATTGACAAACAAATAGCAATGAGACAGTTTCAAATCAAGTTGGTAGGACAGTTTCAATAATTAACACATTGCATACATTCTTCCTAGTGGTTAATTGCTGTACAAGATGCGGACATGATATCCTATTTACAAACACTATTAGAACAAATCCCTCTATTCATTAAGAGAATGTAACTATATATCTATCCTAGCCATTTTGAATACACAGATACAAAATGGACATTCATCTATATCCCCTTTTTTTGGTTAAGTTCTGTTATTTAAATATTATAGGTGTGAAGTTACATATTCAAGTTTTGTTTTTGTTTTTGGCGGAACCAGGGATTGAACTCAGGCCCTTGCGTTTGCCAGGGAAGCGCTTATTCCACTGAACCATCTCCCTGGCCCCTAGATCTTTTTTCCATTCTCAAATACTACCATACGCATAAGATATTTTGGAGTAAGGACCAAGACCAAACATGAAATTTATTTAATTTTCATGTATACCTATATACATTGCTTCCAAGTAAATTTATATACTATTTTTAGTAATTTTGTGCATGAAATAAAGTCTTTGTGGCATGGTGTTTGTTTTGTAGTGTCATGTTGGTCCTCAAAAATTATATATTTTGAGTTATTTCAGATTTTGGATTTTTGATTAGGGATGCCCATCCTGGATTAATATTCACTGATAATGATAATTAGCCTTCCTTTTGTTTTCATTTTTGAGACAGTGTCTCACTAAGTTCCATGTGTTAGCCACAAGTTTGGAATCCTCCCGCCTCAGCTTCCTGAGTAGCTGGGGTTATAGGTATATGCCACTGTGCCCTGCTGACAATTGGTTCTATCACTTCATGGTTTAGGTGGCATTTTCACTTATAGTCTCAATTTGTTGCTGTTGGCAAGCCATGTTAAATATGTAATGTTTCCATTTTTATTATACACTTGGAATAACTGAGTCTCAATAAGGGTACCTCAATTAAGATCCCTTAGCAAATAACTTCGTGCCATCTTTACATTTTTAAAAGCATAAGTGCCTGCCCATTGAAGTTCTTAAAATCCGTATAACTTTGAGGCATGCCTGCAGAAATCTCTTCATTAGTGGACTTCAGAGCCTTTAGAGCCAACACCTTGGTGAATTCACTCAACATTAAGTAATAAAATTTTGGTAACATCAACCACCATTGGCCATCCTGGCCACAATATTGTCACGTAGGTCTTTTGTCCTCTGTCTTCTGATGCCTTATGTCCACAGTATGTCCATGATCTAACAAAGCATTGGAAATGGAGAGTAAAGTTAGTTTGGATGTCTTCTATTCATAAACATGTTTGATTAACTGCGTTTTACATCTCAAAATAATAACAAATTTTTTGTAACCTCAGAATCATGACCAAACAGATAAAAATCTGATAATTTTTTAAGTAATCAGTATACTGTTATAAATACTGTTGGAGAGCCTGCTATGAGTTTGATACTTCACTCAGTCCCAAATGTATAAAAAGAACCTTAACTCTAGTACAGTATGTTTTGCATACTTAAGATCATGGGCCTTTTGTGTACTTTTGATGAATCACAAATAACATGGTTAATAAGATGAAATTGGCTAAGACTACAGATAAAGTATCTAAAATGCTTAAATCGAAGTGATAGGGATTTTAGATTGTTTCTAGATTATGGAATACTTGAATATACATAATGAGACAGGATCTAAGTCTAAGCATGAAGTTAACTTATATTTCATACACACCTTTGTGCTCACAGCCTCAAGATAATTTTATACAATATTTTAAGATTACTTGTAGTCTGTTATATATGACATGATGTAGAGCTGTGGAATTTTCCACTTGTGTCATCATGTTGGCACTCAATAATTTTGGATTTGGAGGCATTTAAAATGTCAGATTTTTGGATTAGAGATTCTAAAACCAGCGTAACATATCAGGATACAAATGAACAGGGATACTTACTATTACATGATTTTTGTTTGTTTGTTTTAGTATAACATGAAGACATACCCTGACTTACGATAAAAAAATATATCTCTTATCATGTGTCACTGTTGCTACTTTGAAAGATCCTGCACTAGTGAACAAAAGCAGTGGTGTAATTTCTGTGATGAAATTGCACTGTATACAAAGAGTGCCAAGTGAAAGGGGTAGATTATTTTTCTTTTTTCTTTGTTTTGTTTCTATTTTTTATTGCTTTGGCTTTTGTTTGCTTTGGTACCAACAATCTAAATATTTCTGCATTTCCCTGAACTGTGTGGCTACTTTTCCAGGAGTTACCACTTTTCCTCTTGCCCCAGGAGGATAGTAAACATCTTCCTGGTGGGCAAAGTTAGTATAATAACCTCTTCAAACTCAACAGACAGAGATAGCATTCTATTCCCAGTCCACAGAGCCTAACTCGGAATCCTTTCTTAACCTAAATAAAAAGAGTCCTCATCCAACTATTATGTAGTTGCTAGCATTGGTAACCAGGTTTGAGAGGGTAGTTGAAAGCAACACTTACAAATATTACAGTTTCTCTTTTTAAATATCTGTGCTTTCTTTAAAAGTGATCCTTCTTGTGCCTTCTCAAAAACTGTTTGCTGAATTGGCTTTTACAAGATGATTATTTAATTTCAACTTCTTCTGACTAGCTTCCTAGAATGTGACATTATAATCCAACTAGTCTACATTCCTCTATTATGTGCCTTGTACACAAATAGCCCTCATACATTAGATTTTATATGAATCACAAGAAAAGAAGCAACAGAAAACACCCCAAAGAACGTGTATTTGGATTCATCATTCCACTGTCTTTCCTTTCTTCCTGTGTATAATTTTAGTTTTAAAAATTCTTTCATCAAACCTTTATATACCATTTTTCAATTTTTTAAAATTATTATTACTTTTTTTGGTTTTTGTATTTTTAGTACAGGGTCTCACTACACAGATCAAACTCGTAGTAATTCTCCTGTTTTCAGCCTCCTAAGCATTGGGATTATAGGCACATGCCACCATGCCTAGTCTCAATTGCCATCTCAACATGCCCCAGGGGGCAGGGCTGGCACGGCACTCCAGGGATTGAACCTGGCCACTGTATTCTGCCTAAGCAGTCGCTTTAGTCTGCTGAGCTATCTGGCCGGCCCTATACCATTTTTTAAAATCAATGTTAAATTCTCCCATTGTTATATGAAAGCCATGGAATTCTTATTAGTGCTTTGGCTTTGTACTTTCTTCTACTTTATACTTAAATGTAAAAGTTTAGTCAAACATAGACAGAATCTAGTTTTTGAAGAAATAAATAAGAATGGGAAGATTCCAACAATACTGACATTTGCTTACTTTACCTTAAAAATTCAATATATTATAAGGTAAGAGCAGTTAAGGTGACTGTTAGGTACATAAAACAATAGATAAATGAACAAAAATAGAAAAATAACAAATACAATGAGGGATTGCTAACTACATTACCTTATTTAATCCCTTCAACAAACCTATGAGACAGAGCTTATTTTTAATCTTAATTTATGGCAGAGCTCTTACCTGATACCACCAGACCTTGGAACCAGCTCTAGAACTGGGTATCCAAATCAGATGAAAATTCAGTTAACAAAAAACCCAAGCAGTTATTATGAGCTTGGCAGTGGAGATGATATAAATATGGACAAAACGGAGAAACACAGGCACTGCTCTTGTTGGAAGCTTTCAAACTGAAGGCTTTTTGAGCTGGGAAATTATGTGATCATATTTGGATAACACTGTGGAAAGTTGTTTAGATGGGGAAAAATCTAAAGACAAAGATTCTAGCCAGGTTTTTGCTGCAATAAATCCAAAAAGAGGCAGTGAGAGCCTAGAGTACAAGCATGAGAGTGAAGTTACGAGTAAGGAAACAAATTTGAAGGTCATCTTCATATAGGTCCTCAGTGATGCTCATGGGGAGGAGGGGCCAGGAGCTGACACTTTGTTGTTTGTGGGAGCATATTTTATGCTGTAGTTCCGAGTTTATGTTGGACCCAAGGGACACACAAGGATACATAAGACCATCACTGGCTTCAGGAAATACAGACTCATCTTTCCAGGACTAGAAGTTCAGGCAGAAACTATATAGGTGAAGTCAATGTGTGAGGTGCAGAATGCAACACATTGTAAAACCACGGGGGTGGACCAGAGCCATGTGAACACGTGCATCCTGCCAAAGGCATTCCCATCAGGGCTGATGAAAAACAGAAAGGCTGGTCAGGCTGAGCAGCTGGATTGCACTGCGGAAATACAATCTCTAAACTGACTTCCAAAATTGTACACAAAGGAATTCAGTAGATGATTTTACTGTTTAAGGTATACAGGGACTGCGCAGTAACAATCAACTTCAGGAGTTTTAGTTTTGAGTAAGCTGACATTGAAATTTAAAAGAGAGAAGTTGAAATATGGATCCTAGTGCTCAATGAAGAGGTTTTCAAGAAGAAGTAGGTGCTTTTTGTGGCAGAGTTGAGTTTTTGCTTGAAAAAGAGAACTGCAGGTGTTTTATATTTAGATTGCCTAGTTAGATGGTAATTATGTCCTCATTGTAATCATTCAGGGGAAACTTAGAATTTTAAAAATTATTTGAAAATGAGGAGAAAAATAAGCTCAGCAAGCTGAGAAGAAACTCTCTGCACCTGGGGAGAAAGAGGACCTGCAAGACAAGGAGAGGTGGAGGAGGGACCAAGCAAGGGTGCCCAGGAAACCCCATGGGTGGGAAGACAGAAGGTAATAGAAGTTGGAGCACTTCCTGCCAGGGTCACCTTTAGCCAAGCACCTCGGAAATGCGAACCTTCCTTTCTGTTTTGCAGGGTGACGACTCAGATGAGGAAGATCTTTGCATCAGCAACAAATGGACTTTCCAAAGAACCAGCCGCAGGTGGTCTCGTGTGGATGACCTGCATACGCTCTTTCCAGGGGGAGACAGAAATGGGTCACCAGGAGGACCTAGGATGAGAAACACCACCAGCAGTGAGAGCGTCCTCACAGACCTGAGCGAGCCTGAGGTCTGCTCCATTCACAGCGAAAGCAGTGGCGGCAGCGACAGCCGGAGCCAGTCAGGCCAGTATTGTGCCGACAGCCCGGCCATGCTGGAGGCCACTCTAGTTGGCAGCAGCCTCCCACAAAACCCTCGAGACATTCTCAACCACCCTTTCCACCCTAAGAATGAGAAACCCACCAGGACCCGGGCCAAATCATTCTTGAAACGCATGGAAACGCTCAGAGCCAAGGGAGCACACGGAAGACACAAGGGGCCAGGGCGGATAGGTGGCGTGGTAATCAGTGGACCTGTGTTGCAGCAGGAGCCAGAATCCTTTAAGGCCATGCAGTGCATCCAAATACCAAATGGAGATCTCCAGAACTCGCCCCCAGTTGCCTGCAGAAAAGGGCTTCCGTGCTCCAGTAAATCCAGCAGTGAGAGCAGTCCATCAGAGAACAGCAGCAGTGGTGTGAGCACTCCATGCCTGAAGGACCAGAAATGCCACTATGAGGCCAACAAACGCGGGGGCATGTATCTGGAGGACCTGGATGTGCTGGCAGGGACAGCACTACGGGATGCTGGGGACCAAAACCACACACATGGGTTTCACTCCCAGGAGAACTTGGTTGTGCACATTCCGAAGGATCACAAACCAGGAACGTTTCCCAAGGCACTTTCTATTGAAAGCCTCTCGCCCACAGACAATACCAACGGGGTTAACTGGAGGACAGGGAGCATCTCACTGGGCAGACAACAGAGTCCTGGTACAAGGAACTCTGGGCTCATGGCTTCTGGCCACAGAGCAAGCCGAGTCAGTATCTATGACAATGTTCCTGGCTCTCATCTGTATGCCAGCACAGGAGACCTGCTGGACTTGGAGAAAGATGACCTCTTCCCTCACCTGGATGACATTCTGCAGCATGTCAATGGGCTCCAAGAGGTGGTAGATGACTGGTCAAAAAATCTCTTGCCTGAACTGCAATCTCATGACACTGTGGTTGGGGAACCTGGTTTACCCCCCTTTCCATCGCCTAATTTGATCACCTTAGATTTTGAAGGCAACTCTGTCTCAGAAGGTCAGATAACACCCAGTGATGTGGAAAGAGATGGAACATCTCTGAATGAATCTGAAGCCCCAGGGGTCAGAGAAAGGAGGGATTCTGGTGTTGGGGCATCTCTGACCAGGCCCAACAGGTGCGTGGCATGCTTTTTTGAATGGGTGTTTCATCCACCTCCTGGTAGTTATGCTGTTTATTTCCTTACTCAACATGGATAGGACACTCACTAAATGCATGACACTATCCAAAAGGATACATTCAGTTTTGAATTACTCTAATGAAAGTATGTTTTGTACAGATGTGATAATTGCATCCATGTCCACACATATTCATATCTATTTTTCTTTATTTTGATCTTAGTTTCATTCAGAAATTTTTTTAATCTCTCATATACAAAGCCAAATGCCCAATTCCCTATACACAGAAAACCATGGATAACAGGGACCCGGTTCCTATGCCAGAGCTTCTTCCATTTCATCAAAACATATTACTTAAAATGTCTCTGCTTCCCATTTTGAACTTTTTAAAATTCCCTCAGAAATATGAGAGATCTAAGGTATGTACTTTGAGAAATGGTTTTTGCTTTAAGATGCTAATTATAAACCATATAAAAACTGATTTTTGGAGACCAGTTTAGAAGCACCCTAGAAAATGGCTTTGGAAGGCCCTGATAATAAGAACCTATGTGTTCTCATCTGAGCCTGACCCTTCCAGCTCCATCTCAACCATGAATGAGTTACAGCAAGAATCGCCGGCATTTGCAACACTCTTGCTCTTGTTCCCTGTCTCTCTCTCTCTCTGACCATATCTCTGTGTCCATATCTGTCTCTTTCTATCTCTTCTTTGTCTCTCTCTCTCTCTCTCTCTCTCTCTCTCTCTCTCTCTCTCTCTCTCTCTGTATCTCTCCTTTCTCCTCATCTTTTTATCTCTCTGTCTCTCTCTGTCTCTCTCTGTATCTCTCCTTTCTCCTCAGCTTTCTGCCTTTCTCTGTAAACACATTCACACTCTCAATTGCTTTTAGCACTGCTAATCTGAGAATAAACACATTTAATTTATCATTTATTTAAGCCCCATAATGAATGAGATAACTTTTACTAAATTTATTCAACTTCAAAAAATCATTTCTCACGAGAATTTTTCCCATTTACATCATCAGTTCTTTGCTTTGTGATTCTCTTGGCCTGGAAACAGTTTTACTGAGCCTTTCACACATAAGGCACATCCTGTATTTCCCAGTACCAAGTCCACTTTGTGACTGGCTTCTCTGACACTCTTCCTGCTCCAGGAGGCTGCGATGGAACAGCTTCCAGCTCTCGCACCAGCCTCGGCCGTCCCCAGCCTCGCCCCACATCAGCAGCCAGACTGCCAGCCAGCTGAACCTGCTCCAGCGCTTCTCCCTGCTGCGCCTCACGGCCATCATGGAGAAGTACTCCATGCCCAACAAGCACGGCTGGACATGGTGCGTAGCACGTTTGCAGCGCCTGTGTGTGTCCAGGGCCAAATGTGCGCTTGCAAACGCTTCAGTGTTCACACTCTGGGGTCTAAACACCCTGTTCTTTGCTGCACCCCATTGCTTTATTTGTGTCTCTCAGTTGGTTTCCAGGGAAGTCGGTCAGGCTGCAAGACAGAAAAGGAGACAAGTAAAGGGTAACAAATTATGAACAGAGGTATTAAAAATAAACTTGCCATAAAATAATCCTGGCAGTTTGCAGACAAACATCTGTCTCTTGTACCTTCTGGCCCAAAGTAGAACTTACAATGTTAAGCACTGATTTTTTTTTTCAAAAAGCATTTAATTTCTCAAACACTTTTCTGCCTTTATTTCACTGGCAAATAAAAACTAGAATACTCAGCATATCTTTGCAGTTCAGGAATTGACAAAAGCACAAGTTGGAACTTGTATAAGAAACTACTGTAAATGTTTTGGTGAAAATGAAAAAATGTGTCAATAACTATCATATATTATACATTTGCATACATAAATATGAATCAGTGCTGCTTTATAAGAATATTTTAGAAGGTTATGAATTGCATGGTCAATTGAAAATATACTTATATATTAAAACTCCCTTTAAAAATACATAAATAGCTCTAGGAGACAAGAAATGTGATTCGTCTTCTCCCCTCACCTTTTTCCTCCAACCCCAACCAGATTTCTTCTTCCTCTTCTAATATTTACATGTGTTTTATTTTGTTCTGTTGGTGACTTTTAAGTGTTCAACACTTGAGGGACGTATCAGTCACAATTAAATTGGAATGTTATTTACTTGACTTGGAAACAGAGCTACAAATACATTCAGTCAATATGAATCATGCTGTTTAGTAAAAATAGCATCTAAGCAGAGGCCATACATAGGACTGCCATGTGGTATGATTAATGGAGTGAGAAGGTAGGATTCTCTGTGCCTGTGGAGTATTCCAACAAGAGCTTGGTTTCCCTTTCACTTGCTTCCACAGCCTCTCCCTGCACTGTGCCCCAGGGGCCTTGCATGACCTAGTTTCTGTGAATTCTAGGTCAGTGCCAAAGTTTATGAAGAGGATGAAAGTTCCTGATTACAAAGACAAAGCTGTCTTTGGCGTTCCTCTCATAGTCCATGTCCAGAGATCAGGACAACCCCTGCCTCAAAGCATTCAGCAAGCACTGATCTACCTACGCAGCAACTGCCTCGATCAGGTAAGGCACCACGGCTCACATTAGTGAAATGCCAGACAGAGTCGATCTGTGCAGTATAAAGTAGTGTGTCCTTCTCTGACAACAGAAAGCACTGTGCTCTTTACATACAGAAACTTAATTTCACCAGGCTATATCCTTGCCAAGACACTTGAGGATGCTTCTTCATAGATGACTTGAGCAACATCCTAGAACGATTGCAAACAGTTAATGTTAATAGTTTGAATTAATAGTTTCAATAGTATCAATAGTTTGAAAGTTAATATTAATCTTTAATTTGTGTTCCCTGAAAAGTGGGACATAACCAATTACCACATTTGCTTTTTAATTATTGGCCCAATAGAACTAATGTCTTTAGAGAACTCTTTTATACCTATTACATTATTGTTGGATAAAAACCATTTTTATGTCTCTCCTATCAATTTTTTTATAGTGCTGGGGATCAAACTAGCTTATCCCCAGCCCCTCTCCTATCAATTTTTGAAGCAGCACATGAACAAAAAAACTTAAACCAAATGCATATTGATTTACATCTTTTTAAAAATGTTTATGTAAAATACAAAAATAGTGCCAGTGAAATCAAATGTCCCCTTATCTAAAGAGTTCATTGTAAAGTTTTCGCTAGACAACTTTCAGAGATCACTTTCTACCTCCAGGACAGTTTGGGGAGTGCTGTAATGGTCAACTGTGGTTAAGCCCAGAGTGAAATCCATCCTATAATTACAAAACAAAGCTTTTTCTCCTCCAAATTAATACCCACTCCTGCAGTTCCTGAGACATTTGATCTAAAAGGAAAGCCAGATTCCTGCTTCTTAAATTGCAACTTTAAGAAGCAGGATATTTTCAGGAACTATTCTATAATGATCTGTGGCCATAATATCCTTTAATGGCATGTGATTAATCTGTAGCAACCTGAGATTATTTGCACTTTTTATATAGATTTACTTTTGGCCTTGGATAGAAATGAGGTGAACTGCATGAACGCAAAGATCTTGGCCCCTGATGCTTGTAGAGACACCAAAACCAAGAACATACTTAGAAGCAAGATGATACCTTGATGAATTGCATATGATTTTTCAGTGGAGCCAAACAGGAGTAATCACTTCATTGAAATCATCTTTGATTGAAATAAATTCATGGTCACCTTTGACCATTGCAACTTCTCATGTAGAGACTGTACAAATACACTTTTTCAGAACAGCCAATGAGCAGTTGTTGGTGTCATAGTGATGACAGCTATTTTGGTTTTGAGAAATACGTTTACTGGCTCTGGATTGCTTTTTATTTTCCAAGGGAAAAAAAAGTGCAACAAACTAATTTACAAATAATGTGCCCTTCTTTGGCACACGCCCCAAAAATTGACTTGTGAGCAACATCCCAACAGAGCAAGCAAGTGAATCTGGTTATTTACACATAATTCCTTCTAAATTTTAGAGGTTTCTACCAAGGACACATATTAATCAGAGTTAATTCTCTATGTTTCGCTGAGAAAAAAATTCAGAGAGGTGGGCTTGGTAGATATTTGGAAATACCCGTTTTGGTCTCTTTTCCAATGCTGGAAGTATTTTACATTCTATAATATAAAATTCTGTGGCTCAAATTATATTTTAATTGGTTTTTTGGTGCAGAGCCAACATTGTGATTTGTGGAGGGTAGCTTTTGATTCAGACACTTGGAAATTTGTGTAAAGGTGTACAGATGTAGCTTGCTTCTGAATTTTTGTTTATGTCTTTCACTAAGCATAAAGAATGTTTTTGACCAAAAGCATGACCAACTAATGCTTATCAACAAAAATTCCATTAAGAGAAAATGTTTTTTAGGACTGCCTAAAGGAAATGCAGTCTATTTATGCCATTAGTTCAATAATAACCTTTCTCAACTGCCCAATATGTTTGAGGCAAGCATACTAAGTGTTCCACTTTCATTGTTTTATTTAACTCCATATCCACCCTGGCTGGTGTTAAGATCTGGCTTCTATGATGGAGTTACCACTTGCTTACAAATCTGTGAACTCCAGAGTCTAAGTTTTAAGTCACTGTCCTCCACTGCACCATTACAATTACTTTTTCCTGGTAGCTTTTGGCATAATGCTGTCCCAGCACTAAAAGACACTTTAAGAGGTGGTCATACAACTCATTGATTAATCCCTTGACTAGATTTGGTTCACAATATTGTTCATTACGCCATGTAATGTTATTTTTGTGAGAATGAGGGAAGATTTTTTTTCCTCTGCCTTTAGCACTTGAAATCACCATTTCTTTTGGATCACTAGTCCAGTTTTTATATTGTAGGCATAAGGCTCATTCATATGGGGGTGTTTTCCTCTCTGTGTTGGCTGCTAGAAAGCTGAAAGTCAAGTTCATATTCTGCCTGTAATAAATATACGTAATTTTTACATTAACTTTTGAATCAGTCTTATTCCTAATTTGTTATCCTTTTCTATTCTAATTTTCTTCTTGCAATAATGTTCTATTATCTTTAATTCAATTTAATCATATCTTATTGTAGTTTACAGAACATTAAAAGTCACTCTAAGTTCCAGTTGGGTATAGATAAATGAATTATAATACCACCATTGCACTCACTACCAAGTCTTTAGTGTAGAATATAAGCCATTCCCACCCCAAGAAGATTCTGATAAGGTACAGCACCAGTATTACTGTCATGATGGGTTCAGGATCCTTTTGAAGCAAATATCAAGAAAGTGAAAGTCATATAAATAAAAAGGAGGGCTGGGGAGATAGGTCAGTGGTTTAAGTGCCTGCCTGGCAAACTCAAGGACCTGAATTCGAGCCCTGCTATCATATTCCATATGTAATAAATAAATAAATCTTTTTAAAAAAGGAAACTGAGTATCAAAATATCCTCAACATCTTCTTGCTGGTTTATTCCTAGTACCCATCTCAAGTGTCTATTTTTTAAAATCTGGAATAATTCCACGCTGAAAAAGTGCAAGGGCAAAGCTTTTTAGGAAAAAGATTCATTTCAAGAATTTAAATGCTTATTCTAAATGTAATCAAAGTAAGACAAGACTTCCATTGTATTGGAAGCAAGAATGAATCTGTTAGATGTCCAAGGGACTTTCACTGTGGCCATTTTTCCCACCTTAATCCTGGTATGGTTTTCTGCCTTATAAATTCTTTCACTCCTTCGTCTCATAGCCAAGAACACACACAGAGGCCACCCCACCGGTCCCTGTGTAAAAGAAAGCGTTAGTAGGAAGGTTATAGGAGAGAACTAGTGAAAGTAAAATACAAGAGAATCAAGAACAAGACAAAGACCATCCTATAAATTTAAAAGCATATGACCCAGAAAAGAGAGGAAAGCGAGAGTAAAGAGGAGGGAGAAAAACACTAGATGAATGTTTTTTGCCAATAGCACCTTGTTGGAATTGAGAGAGGTCTGCATAGGGCCTTGAAATCTCCCTTAGTGTCACAGAGGACCACAATGTCTCCTTGTAGCCTTCCTCTAAGCCACACTTGAGTGAGAGACCCTGACCTTGATTAGGGGGAAGGATGTCTCCAGCAATGAGCCAGTCCCTGGCCCTCATACTATGCATTCACTTTGAACATAGAATTCTTTGAAAATAGCTAACTCCAGCTTCACAGAGCCATGAAACATTGCCCGCATTTCACCTCCCACACATGCTAGTGCAGAACAGTTTATATGATGAAGCATGGTGTATCCATTTTCTGTAAGATGGCTATAGATGAAATGAGAAAGTTTAGCTTTCAATTACAAGCCATTTGTATTCCGACATAGCAGTGTGTGCAAGGAGTCTTGCTTTGTTGTCTGAGATTTTATTTCTGCCCTAAATCAACTGCACCCAGAAGCATGGGTTATACCTGAGTCCTGATGAATATGAAGTCGCTGCAGTGAGATACTGAGACTGCAGTGCTCCAAATCAGAACCTGCCACACAGTCTTCTTATAAATCTGTTTCTGAATAAAGCCAACCTTCCTTCATTAGCTGAGCACATTTCTAAAGAAGAGGAAATGGAATTCCTGATAAACATCATTAAGCCCTGAAAGGATTAGCATAAACAGGATGCTGAGAGAAGATTTAATATTATTTAGATGAAATTTGAATTCTAATGCAGCACTCATGCCCAACCGCTCCTTCTAATGGAGCAGTACATTTTAAAAGCCTAATTATGCTGGGAATACACTTTGTACTCAGTAAGAGTGTTCTCTGTTGAGCTGCCTGTTCATCACTTTGCATATTGCCTACCTCAGATAACATGAGGGACGCTTTGGGACCATCTATTTAAATAATACCTTCCATCCTTCATTTTTCATAGCTAGGATTTTAGGGGGAAAATGAAAAAAAGAGAAGATAAAGTTAGAACAAAAGGACACTCACCCTATTATCCTTAGATGGAGAGAGACAGCATGAGTGAGAGAGATGCTTGTAAAATGGATTTTGTAGCTGAACATAGTAGAGCAGGGCTATAATCCCAGCATTCTGGGAGGCTAAGGCATAAGGATCAGAAGTTCAAATCTAGCCTAGGCAACTTAGTAAGACCTTGTGTCAAAATAAAAATAAAAAGGGGCTGGAGATGTAGCTCAGTGAAAAGGCCCTAGCTTTAATCTTTAGTACCTTGCCCCAAAATAGAATATGGATTTTGCACCCATGGCCACCATTATTCAATTGTTGGAGATGACCTGTCACCTAGGCTTTGAAGGCACATGAGAGAAAGACCTGGTATGAAATTGGGGGACCTGGTGCAAAATGGGGTTGTATGAACCCTTATTAATACATTATTGAGAATTTCAAACTTGTGGTAGCAGAGCATCCCACCAAGTGTGTGGCCTTGCGTAACTGCCAGGTCACCTACCAACTAACAATATACTCAGAGACAAATGGAAGACAGATCATCCACATTGGGTCTTATTCTTCATGAAGCTGAGATATCTGGGATCACTTTTTATCAGCGGTGATGAGGACTATTCTGCTGGAAGCAATGGGTTTCTTCGGCTCTCTAATTTTCACTTAGAAAAAAATCTTTAGTCAAAAGAATACAAATCACATGGGTTTGATCGCCAGCACCATAAAAAAAATGCCAATGACTGCAACATTAGGAAATGAATAATCTCATACAGAAACAATAACAAAGAGTCAGAAAACAGGGTGGTCCTAGGGTCAGTTTATTTATCAGTTCATTCTGTCTTTGAAGCCTGTGATTTTCTCCATCTTTTTTCTCTGCCATTCTTAATGGAATCTGGAGTATGGTCTGATTTGAGACCATCTTTCTGTCATTAAGTTTAGGAAAGAAATTTCCTTCTGGATGTCCAACAAAAATGTCCCACATTCCCTGGGAGATAAGGGCAGGGTTGAAAGGTTATTGTCAGAATCTGAGGCAGAAGGAATAAATCTCGGCTAACCCTCTAGAAATCCTGAGTTCACAGTCAGTGCAAGAAGCTCAGAGCCTGCAACTGGAGAGCTCCAGACATGTCTAAAATAATTAAAATACCAATATATGCCAAAATAAGAAGAAACCTGGAAACCGAACAATACAAAGAAAACATCCCTGGGTGTATATGCATATACACCAGTAAAGGCCCTGAAAAAAAGTATAAAATAAAGTGGACAAAAGGGAAACGTGCCCAACAAAAACACAAACACTCTTTTTATAGCTCCTGATCAATATTTCTCTGCTGTATAAAGAATGTGAGTTCTTTTCAAGTGGAATAATACCAACTTTTGTGAGGACAAATATTTGTGAGCCACAGTTAAGAATTCCCCTTTGGGGCAGTGAGATTCTGAGAACTCTGATGTGGCAAAGGTCTGTGATGGCCACAGTGTGGGGCCTCCTTACAGAATTATAAAATTCAATGAGGTAAACAGGTTGAAGGCAGATCTCTCTGCAGTGATCACCCATCTAACAGACTGAAGTATGGCAAAGTTTTGCATTGTCTAGACATTTTAAACTTTTTTTTTTTTTAATACCAGGAATCACAATGAGTACCTTGCCAGGCAGGCACTTGTGCCCCTGGGGTATCTCCCAGGCCCTAGACATTTTAAGAAGAACAAACTAACCGAGAGTTGAAGTGATATTTTTGCCTGAATAGCCTGATCTGTGGAATTAGAATGACAAACCTCAGGAAGAAAACAAGTATTACTAGGGGTTTTGTTCATTATGGCCACAAAAAGCAGCCGTGTGTCCTTCCTTTGCAGTCCATATGCTGATGTGTGTGACCATGAGCTGAGGCAGGAAGATGACAAATGCAAGCCCAGTCTGGGCAATGTAATGACTTAGAAAGACTCTGTCTCAAAATAAAAATTTTAAAAGGCTGAAGGTATTTATCTCAGTGCAAAGCTCTGAGTTTAATTCCTAGTACTGCGGAAACAAAATAGTAATTCTCTGATGACTTGGAATTTTTCCCTTGCTCTTCCTACAGTTTAAAAGGATCAGAGCTACTCTGATTTATTGCCACAAACAAAGTATGCTTTGTCAGATGTGAACTTTGGTCAGGTGTAAGCTTGGAGTCTAGTAGAGGGGCTGATGACCCAGCTATGGTCCTGCGTTTCTCCGAGTATAGGGAGAGCACAGTAGGATAACATCTAGAAGAAAGTAACTTAGGAGTGGTTCTCACTGAAGAGCACATACACAGAATAATGAGCCAAATAGAGCAGTAAGTACCACACATAATGAGACATAAATATCACAGGTGCCAGGGCCCCTGAAGAAAAAAAGTAAATTCCTTATGTCTATATCTATAGCCTATCTATGTCTATATCTTGGTCCACAAACCTAGTCTGTTCTATGATTTTGAAAAGCACGGCCGTATTTGTGTTTGTATGGGAACGATAGCCACAGGCATGTTTGTCACCCGATGCAGAGTTTGCCAACGAAAGCAAAATTTTGCCAAATGCATCTGTTCATGAACCAAATTGCTCATATATCAAAGTGTTCATGAACCGAGGCACGCAGGTTCTAGAGGTATGTTGGCTCACAAGCTTGATTCTTTCCATGATTCTGGTCACAAACTGAACCAAATCAAGTTCAATCATTAGGTCTGATGCTGACCTAATGGGGAAAATTGATTCCATTCTCTAGCTCAGTTTGCAGTCAAAATCATGGAGAATATTGAATTTGTGAACTGAGGCATGACTATGTATATTTCTCAGTTTGTTTGTTTGTTTGTTACTTAGTTGCATGAACATATTTCCCATGGACTTCTCCAAAAAGGTGCTGACTATGGTTATTTTATCTGAGATGCTTCTGTTCATCAAACTTCCTATTTGATGAAACTTGTTCAAAATCCCCTTGAAATTGTGAATGACAAAGGGCAGGGCATTGTCTGTTCTGCCTGCAAGTGACACCTAGCACAAGAATGTAGGGTGCATAATGAGTACTAAATCATTGCTTATTGAATAAATGAATAAAACCACAGCACAGACTGTGCAATTAGACAGCACAGGTCACAAAGCACATTCCTACGTGTCTCCTCATTCCATCCCCGCAGCAGGCCTATGATGGGAGTGTTGTCCTTTCTTGTATCTTATAAAAAAAAAGCCAGTGTTTGGTGGCTGCCTAAAGTAGCTACCTTAGTGACTCAGAATTTGTGAGCTAGGATGCAGGTCCAGCCCACCCATCCGTGGTCCCCAGGCCTTCCATACCCAGGGTATGTACGTAAAGAAGACATTGAGGAAAGAGCAGGCTGGCTAATAATACATCCCTGGGGCTTGTTTCAGGTGGGTCTTTTCCGCAAGTCAGGAGTGAAGTCTCGAATCCATGCCCTACGTCAAATGAATGAGAGTTTTCCTGAGAAGGTCAGCTATGAAGACCAATCTGCTTATGATGTGGCAGATATGGTGAAGCAGTTCTTCCGGGACCTCCCCGAGCCACTTTTCACCAACAAGCTCAGTGAGACCTTCCTCCACATCTACCAGTGTAAGTGGAAACAGTGCAGCTCAGTGTTCACACACACTACCCACTGAGCAGGTTTCCTAAGGACTGAATTTCAATGATACAAGTAATTTATGAATCCATAAAGAAGTATGTCAAAAGTGGGTTTTTTTTCCACAGTTTGCTCTAAAAATGTTAGTGATATTTATATTTTTACTTGGATTTTTAAGTGATGTTAAAGCAGTAGTTTTCAGCAAAGCCATGATGATTAAAATAATCATTGAAAATCACAATTGTTGATTTTAAAAAGCCTATGCTCAAGATAATGGAAGTGGGAGAATATTAGAAATAAAGCATTTATGCACTAGAATATTACTTCTAAATAAGGTTTTGTGGAAAATTTAAACTTTTAATATTTTCAATTAATTTAAAATGAAAAGGGGATGTAACAGAATTTATTTCATAGCATTTATGAAAACATTTAATTATTGTGAAAAGTAAACATTTTTTGGGAATACAGAAAATTCAATGTGAACTATATGGAAGGAAATGAAAAATAAGGCAAGTGTATTAATGGATGAAAAGCAAACAAATCAAATGAAGTCTCTGGTTTTTTTTTTTTTTTTTTTTTTTTTGTTTCTTTTGGCAGAACCAGGGATTGAATTCAGGCCCTTACACTTAAGCACTTATTCTACTGAGCCATCTCCCCAGCCCCAAGTCTCTGGCTTAATGCAGTTGATTTACATCCCCCCTTGGAATTATATAATGTCAGCAGTTCTCAGTGAAGCTGTAGTAATTAAAATAATCACTGAAAGTAAAGGATAGAGGGAGAGAGGAGATAAGAGATGAAAAAGGAGCTGGAATGTATTGCCCACATATACCAAATCCACTCGAGAAATGTGAACAGAGTATACTGTAAACATATACTGAGAAAAAAGGAAGGAGATCCAGGGATGGGTGGAGGAAGGAGGAAGGGAAGGAAAAAGGAATTAAGATGTGCTATGTACATGACTAGCTCCCAATAAGGAATGTAAATATTATATGCTACATGCACGCACAAATAAACTAATTTTGTTTTTCAGTACCGAGGGTTGAACTCAGGACCTTGCACTTGCCAGGCAAGCATTTACTCTACTGAGATATCTCCCCGGCCTAAATTAAATTATGTTTTAAAAAAGGAAAATAGCAATTACTGACATCTAACCCTGTCCTGTGAAAGAAAGGTGCCAAGGGGACTAGTAGAAATAAGTATTTAAATCTTTTCCAGATGGTAACATTAGCATTATGACTCATTTTCATGGCCCAAGTCTCCATTCTTTATAAGACTGCGTTTAGCTTATAGACTTTGATTTTACAGCAAAGTGTGGCTGAAATGAGCCCTTACATGGAATTAATGCCATTTGAAGTTCCCTGATAGAGAGATTTCTGTAGTAAATGTGTTTAAAAGAAGGATAACATTGCAAAGTCAAAAAGGATTGTACTTAGTACCACCAATAAAAGCAGAATGAAGTGGCAACATTAAACAAATATGACTTTGCCAAAGTGAAGAGGTTCAGTTGAATTAGTGATATACATTGCTAGAGCCCAAACACAGGGTACTCATGACAGTGTCGCTGTTCAATATTAAACTCTGTTTCTCAGTTAAGTTCCATTATGGTTTGGAAGTGTCACAAATGAGTCTTTACATTTCAGTCGATTCTTGGGTTGACAGTGACACTAGTCAAAGCTAACATTAGACTATTTTCCAAGAAATAAATTCCTGTGGCCTATTCCAGGACTTACAGCCAAGAAGCCAGATCAAAGCAGAGTTTTATTTTAGCCAAATGAACATTTACTGAGGGGGCCTTACATACCTGTCCCAGCTGAGCACAGCCAAGCATGTGGATATGTGAGGCTCACTCTGCTCTGAAGAATTCTACAACTGAGGGAGCAACATGTGAATATAGTGACTGACCTAGAACAGAGGTGAAGTTCCACAGCACAGTCACAAAGATAAGTCCAAGAAAGTTGAGATGGGCAGTAGAACTTGGTGAAGAAAGTAAAAACCAAAGGTTGAGATATGTAAAGAACATATTCTAGATGAAGTAGACTACATGAACAGAGGTCAGAGGAGTACAGGATATTTGTCTGTCTGCATAGAAGGCAAATGTACAGTGTGATATCAGATGCCACTGAAAAATTAGGCCAGGGCTATTCAAGGACAGGCATTGAGAAGTAGCATAAGGCTGGGTAGATAGCTCAGCAGTCTAAGCGCCTATCTGACAAGCTCAAGGGCCCAAGTTCCATCCCAGGTACCACATGCCATACCAGCCCCACAACCTGGGTACACAGTGCCAACTGTGAAACTGGGTGTGGTGGTGTACACCTGTAATCTCAGTGCTGGAGAGGCTGAGACAGGAGGATCACTAGTCTAAACTGTGTAGTGAGACCCTGTATCCAACAAAATTAAATAAATAAATAAATAAATACGTTTTAAAAATTAGTACAATGGGCTCATACTCGATTCATTAAGCACCAGTGATATTGTTGAAGATTTAGCTATTATTTAGGTAGTAGGTATTATTAAAAGTTTTTCCAGCTATGATGCTTTCACCCATAAAAGCAGAACCAAAAATGTAACAAGCAATTGTCTAAATAATAAGGACATTCTGTTATCTCACTGGACAAAAAATGTAGAATTGAACCATTCCATTGTTAGGTAATTCTGCAGCCAAAGGCAAAATCTGGCTTTCTTGACTTTCCCTTGGGGTCGCAGTATGACTGCCACAACTTAGAGTTATCACACCTTCACAAAATCCCATGCAAATGCAAGACAAATGGGCTTCCCCCTAAGCATAGGTCTTACTTCATGAGAGAAATTAATGTTGTGGAAGCTGCTAGCATTTTTCTTGATTTCCTCAGTCAGAGATAGTTTACATCTTGTCCCCTACACCAGTCGTTGAAAAGAGGAATGTGGTTACCAAGTTCATCCCTAGATCTGGAAGCGTTCATTTCCCTGACCACAGGCCACCCATGGACCATGAGTGCTGCACAGGGCACATATTCTCTTAGTGAGGAAGGGGAGAATGGGTATTGAGCAAGTAGTCTGATGTTTCCTTGGTCAGACTGTGCTGTCTGCAAGGGTCACAGTTCATCAGAACTGCTTTTTTGATCCATGAATCCAGAGGTGGTATATAAGAGTTACTGGGTAGACATGAACAGAGAGCTAAAGAGCTAGCACATTGATTGAGGTTCTGGATTATGAACAATGACGTCCTGCAGTTGGACTGGAAATAAGGCATTCCATGGATAGAATCCAAAGTCAAATTTTCAAAGGCCATGGGAGAGAAATGAGCAGTTCCCGTCCCAGTTCCACAGAATTTTGTTTCCAGTTGTGCTACTTCTTGCATGAAACGATTAACCTGGATGGAGTGTAGGTGGATCATGAAGATATTCTAATCTTTCCAACCTCTGAGAAAGGGAAAGGTAGAGTGACCAGGAACAACCCTATGGTATGGAGGCTTGATGACAGAGAGGATATGCAAAGGAAAGAGGAGAAGGAGAGTTGACTTCAGGGCAACAAGACAAGTGTTGCAAATGGAGAAGGTGGAATGTGAGGGCTGAGAGCCACCAACATGGTCACAGATTCTCAACACTTGACAAGGCGGATCTGAAACAGTCCACTGAGTCACAAAAGAGGAAGGCTCCACAGCAATGTCATGTGTAATCAAAGGTCAAGGAGCATAAAGTAAAAAATGAATGCAGAATTTAGCAATCAACAATTGACCTTCCCAACCTTTTTTAGTAGAAAATAATAGACAGGAGGCATTTTTGAGAAGTAAAGGAATGAGTGAGTAGAAAGATATTTGGGACAACAGATCTCACAGGTGACATTTTAAAAACGATGGCAAAAGGAATTGTACATTGGCAATGAAAAGCAGCTTGATCATCTAAAGTTAATATGTAACTATACACATATATATGACATCTTACCCACAAAAGCATGTTTAAAAGCAGCTCAGTGAGCTCAAGATGCACTTCAAACAGAACTCTCAAGCTTGAAATTATTAGTAGTATCGATCTCAGCAGAAGCAAGAAAAAACAAAATGGCTTTGTTCTCATTTGTTTGCTAAAATGGTTCTTCTCTATATACGTCAGATATAGCTGCAGCAATTTTCAGTATCTTTTGGAAGTGCCAGGTAGGGATGTATTTCACAATGTATAACCCATGGTCACACTTTTCTGGAAATGTGAATTTGCTAGCGTACAGGGTCAGGAACTTGGCCATTCCTGGCATATAGAATCCTCTCACAGGATTCTACCTAATAGACAGCTCATGGTGTCACAGATCCTTCGGCCATGCAGAAGACTTCTAGAGCGCAGGGCATAAATTTCTGTTCTGTGATTTACTTCTACGAGAAGAAAATGTCCTAAATGTGGGATTAATTCAAATACCTTGTGATATAGTGCGCACATTATAAAGCTTGCTTAACCAGTATTTTTAAAGAACAAGATAAAACACTTGAATGTTTTTCTCATACCTCCAGGGACTATCACAAGTATAGTCCCCCATCCTTTGGGAGTACCCACACCCTGTTGTGGATATCTGTGCCCCAGAATGTGTCCCTTTAAGAGAAATAACAATGTAAACTCAAGTGAGCTCCTGACTATGTTCATGAATCAAAGTGAAATGATCTTTAAGCAAACGTAGACAGGAAGCAGCAAAATGGGGCATCTAGCAACAATTTGCTGTGATTTTTAGGCTTAATTCACTTCAAAAGGTTGGGCTGGTTCCCTTTTACTCCTATATAACCAGTGCCTACCTCCCAACTGCCAGGACTACCCTCAGAGGGAATGGGACCAAGCAGAGCCATATCTTTCCCCTGACCTAAGGGAGCTTGGTTCCTCTCCCTTAAACATAGCTTCAGTATTTATAACCACCAAGTTTATGAAATAAATGACATTGACTCTCCATGCAGAGTGGATTGAGTGTATCCTCTGAAAGCCGTGGTGACTTGTAGGAGAGAAGAAGATATACAGGTCATCATGGAGGTCCTGGGCCCCTAGGAATGCCCAGAGGGCAGGCTCACTGGACTTCACCACTCATGGTTAATTGTGCCACACTGGCATCATGGCCAGGCTACTTCCATAGGGCTGGGATGGTTTTAAACTATTTCCCTGAGAGCCTTTGGTGCCCTAGGAGGTGTTACCCAAACTGCCTGGTAGGGAGGATGGGTAAAAGAGAAGCCAGGGTGAATCCAAATTCAGCCCAATCCAATGCCAGCTTCCACCAGGACAAAAAAGTTATCTGGCAACAGAGGAGTAGGCCTACTGCTCAGAGAGGATATATATATGTATATGTATATGTATATGTATATGTATATGTATATGTATATGTATATGTATATGTATATATTTTAAATATATTTACATATATATATATATGTTTAAAAAAAAAAACAGAATGGTGGTGTTGCTAAGTACTGCAGGTTCTAGTGTTCCACTACTGGGGTTTGAATTCTTGCTCTGTCTCACACTAGCTGTGAGGCCTGAGCAATTATTTCTCTGTGTGTCAGCCACCATCGTTGTTGTTGAAGTCTTTTAATATCTCCATGTCAGGAAGTGGATTTTATGGGCTCTCTCCCTGACTCTTTCTGCAGCTGTCCCTCTAACCACCCGGCTCGTGTTTCCTCAGTTGTCCCCAAGGAGCAGCGGCTACAGGCTGTGCAGGCTGCCATCCTGCTGCTGGAAGATGAGAACAGGGAAGTCCTGCAGACACTTCTGTGCTTCCTAAATGACGTTGTCAATTTGGTGGAAGAGAATCAGATGACACCCATGAACTTGGCTGTGTGTCTAGCCCCCTCCCTTTTTCATCTTAATTTATTGAAGAAAGAAAGCTCTCCAAAGTGAGTTGTTGTTTTTTTGCCTCAGCAATGGTAATAATGTTCAACCAGGCCTCCCCTACAGTTCATTAAAAAAAAAGTAAACAAAACTGTTGCTGTGCTAGAAGTCAACTCGAGAATTTGTCAGCTCTCATTTTATAATCAGATTATTGTCGGAAGCAACTTCATTCACGGTGCACAGGTTCATAGAATTATCAGAGGAGCCCTGCAGAGTGGCACTTGTAATCCAGAAAGCCTGAAGAGTTTGTTTTGTTTTGTAAGTACGAGTAGCAAGGAGGGGAAAAGTACACAAAGTGGTATTTTTATAATCTTTAATTTTTAAAAGCTACATTTAAAACCAAAGTACAAGACTTTGCAGTTTAGTGGTTCCAAACTTTGGAAAAAGTAGATTAATCTCTCCCCCACCAACAATTCCTTCTGTCCTTGGATTTTTCCAAGACTCTTGGTTGTGAAGTAGTAGATGGTTAGCCTGCCTCAGAATATCTTAAGCAGTACGGTCTCTGTTTTTCTTTGGAAATAAGAAGGCCTGGGATCTAGATAGCATGGGGGGGGGGGGACAAAAAAAAAGGGATGAGCTCGGTATTGTGGAAAGCTCTTTGGATTGGGATCTGCTTAACACATTCACATTCAATTACAGAGTCATCCAGAAGAAATATGCCACTGGGAAGCCAGATCAAAAGGACCTCAATGAAAATCTGGCTGCAGCTCAGGGGCTTGCCCACATGATCATGGAATGCAACAAACTTTTTGAGGTAAGCAAAAGCGCAACCCGTGTTCCTTACAGCTCTTGGAACTAGATAAGACACTTGTATTGGTGAATACATTACGGTTTATATCTGTTTGCTCCTGATTTTATGACAAGAGTATGTTCTATAGCTCTGGTCTTAGCATCCAGTAAATATGAGGGGCTAGCTATAGAATTGAGGCTTTGATAGTTAAAGTCTTTTGAGGTCACCGCAAAGGCAGTTTGCATGCAAACAGGTGCATTACCTGCTTTTGTTAGGTTCAAGGCCAGTTATTTGTGTTCTAGTGTATTTAATTTTACCTTGGGACTTGGTTATACTCCACATCTGACCACGTGTGCTTATGTGTGCACGTGTGTGTGATTCTAAGTAATCCTTATTGCTGAGAGTCAATGACAGATATGCTAAACTAAGCAAACAAGATTTCTGGCAGATTTTCTGAGCTAAACTGGCACTTGTCAGTGGGCAAAGTAAGCTACAAAGGTAGAACTATTTCTGAGTCATATCTGATGTTTCTTTTAACAAGTCTATGTGCATTAAGTCTATTCACACTGAGTCAATTTGTCTGAGCCCATATTTTGCTAAACTGAGTAAAAACAAACCAAAGGAAAATGGAAAAAATGAACAGGAAGTCATTGAAATGTTTTCAATAATAAAAATAGCCTCAGAGACATATTTGTGTTTCCTAACTTTAGGAAGGCCCCTCCCAACCTTGGCACTGATCTTAGTAAAACATCTCCAGCCCTGTGCCCCTCAGCCTGTTGCTTGTTGGTGGGAAGATGACTTTGCTTCCTCTACCTATTCTTGTAACTCAGTGTTCTTTTTATTTTCCACACCTCTTGGTTCAGGTCCCACATGAGATGGTGGCCCAGTCTCGCAGTTCCTATGTAGAAGCTGAAATACACGTGCCTACTCTAGAGGACTTGGGCACGCAGCTGGAAGAGAGTGGAGGAACTTTCCACACTTACCTGGATCATCTTGTCCAAGCTCTCCAGAAAGAAGCCAAGGAGAAGTTCAAAGGATGGGTCTCATGCTCCAGTGCTGACAACACAGACCTTGCTTTCAAAAAGGTAACCCCCTCAAAGCTACATCCAACAGTGAGAGATTTGTCATCAGTTCCAAAATGGCTGCTTGTCCTCAGTTAAAGTATCTGTGCCCCTCAAAGGCCCTATCTAGAGATTGCTAAGGAGGCTTGCTGCATTTAATCAGCATCTAGCCCCTGAGCTAGGCCTCTAAATCCTGCCCCTGGCTCTCCTCTTTAGCTGTGCAGTGTTGGGCAAGTCATTGCCTCAGTTTTCTCATTTGCAGAGATGGACATTTGCAAAAATGTACTACGGTTTTAAAAGGGCCTTTTATAAGTAAGTGGGTTAGGACAGTGCCTGGAACACTGTGTACACTGTCTGTGTTGGTGATGAGTACTTTGGTTATCATTATTTTTATTCTCTTAAACTTAAGGATTAAAAGGGATTAAGGATTAAAGGGTATGCAGCATCCCTCCTTCAATTTACATATTCCAAAACATCAGGTACAATAGGGTAGGTATTGGTAGGACCCAGATGATTGCATTCTTCCACCTCTGTTGCTGTCCCTGCCAAGGTTGGGGATGGGAACCCGCTGAAGCTGTGGAAGGCAGCTGTGGAGGTGGAGGCACCCCCCTCCGTGGTGCTGAACCGTGTGCTGAGAGAGCGCCACCTGTGGGACGAAGACTTCGTGCAGTGGAAGGTGGTGGAAACGCTGGACAGGCAAACCGAAGTCTATCAGTATGTGCTGAACAGCATGGCCCCTCATCCCTCCCGAGATTTCGTGGTTCTCAGGTGAGCCTGACTCCAGGTTGTATGGTCCTGCTCCCAGCACACGTTAAAAGCCGCAGCCGTAAGCACTTCTTTACGCCCTCCACCTGCCTTCCACCTGGGACCCCTGAGCCTGCGCTCCTTTCCCTCCCTGAAACCTGACTTCGCGGCCTTTATGCCTGACTTCCTGCTGCTGCTTCACCCACTTTACAGCCCCTCCCGGATCTCTCACGACCCCTCTCCTCGTGGAGTACACAGTTTATTAGACCATAAATATCGTTCATTTCCTTAGAACGACGGAGGCCCCACAATAGCTGCTGTGGGTCCAGTTGCACTTTCTGCCAAATTATGCAAATCAAATCTGATTGACTTTTCCCCTGACTTTGCCTGTCTCCCTGAGGAAAGCATGTCTTCATTTTGTGAAATTCTGAGATTGGCATGTGTGTAATTTCAAACCCCATCTGTATAACTAATTTCTATGTGTGGAAATCTTGGCACAGTCCTGAAAGTTCAAATATGCTGAGACCCTGGACATGCAGTCTTTTTTCAGGGCCTGCCAAGGCTTTCTGAGTTTTGTGTCTGCCATTAAAATATTGTTTCTGATTGATTTATGGGTTGAGTTCCAGACCTCTCCTTGCTGGGCTGGAAATGGATGATCAACCAGTAATAGAAAGTTTGCACAGTAGAAATGCAGTATTTCATCAGAGAACAGGAATCGAGGATATTAAAGAACCTGAATAAAATTTAATTAGATCAATATATCCTTTTTATTAAAAAAAAAAAGCCTAAGCAAACTCAGTCTCTTCCCACAGATCAGCAATGTAAAAGGAATTACCAGTGAAATCCCCAAATGTATATTTCAAATAGTTTCTTTATGAAACTTGTTTTGATGGCAAATTAAAGGTTACTTTTTATGAGTTCTTGATGCCTTTAGTATTGGTTCCTGGAAGCTTGACTTTTAAGGGTCTGTTTTCCCTAAATGTGTGTGTGTATCCCAGCAACCGTGGAATGCTGATGAAGAATGTGGGCAGTTATAAAGGTAGCTTATTACCACAGTTATTGGAACATTAGTCATCTTGTGGAGTTAAATTTCACACCACTTCTCTTATAAGCAGAAAATTGGGTAGCTGGCAAGGAAGGTAGCCATAGGAACAGGCATTTATTGTGATAAGCCTGTTCTTTCCCTCTAGAAGAAGCTGAGAGGGAGTCTCTGCATTGGGCCTCCCTCATTCCACCTGAGGGCAGTCCAACCAGCCTGCTATTTCTTAGTATTTTAATCCATCGTATTTTATGACAGCCCCTCTACAAGCTCTGAAAATGCCCTGGTAAACATAGCAGATCACAATTCTGATCTCTTAGGATTTGTATTTCACTGGGGAGAGTTGATAAATAATAAGAAAAACAGATAAGCTTACTTGTCCTAGGAAAATAAGATAGGGAAATCATAAGGATGGAATTTTAAATAGAGTGGTTGGGGCAAAGTCTTACTGCATTGATGTTTACAGCAAGACCTGAAGGAAAAAAGCGAATGATCACAATGCCCTGTGAGGAAGCTTGACACTTCAGAGGACTTACTAACATTGTACCAGACAGACCTAATCCTCCACAGAAATTCCTTACACTTATCATACAACAAGGTGGAAGTGACCATCGTTGCAAGGAAGACAATGCTGAGAGCCATCCTGTCTTCAGGGCATCTTCCATCTGGGCTGGTGCCTATGAGACAGGTTATATTTCAGCATTACCATGTTTACCTCTCACTTGATATTGGTCTTCAGATCTTCAGAAGCTTCTAAGGAGAATTATTGAACATCTTCTTATTTTAACCCTATGCATCTTTAAAACCACCAGGGTTCATATTTATCATATCACCATGCATGGAAAGAGTGGTCATGACCAAGGGAAGTTTCTGAGCATTTATGTTAGGCTTGGTTTGATCCACATTCTTGAGTATCTTAGTTCAGTTTCTACTGCTATAATAAAATATCAGTAATTTAGTAAGAATAGTTTACTTGATTTACAGTTCATTTAATCTGTAGAGGCAGGAAGTCCAGGAGTATGGCACTAGCATCTTGCAAGGCCCTTTTTACTGGGTCTTGCATAGCATGACAAAAAGCATATGGCAAGATAGAGCTGAAAGACTGGGCATGGTGATGCATGCCTGTAATCCCAGCCCTTGAGAGGCGGTAAACAGGCAGATCACTACAAGTCCAATCTAGTAGTGAGCCCCCCAACACTCTGTAGACCCTTCCCTAAAAAATACATAAGAAAAAAGAAAATATATAGAGCTGGAGAGAATTCACTTTTATGACAAAGCCACTTCTGCAGTAATTTATTAATTCATAAATAGATTAATCTGTTCATTAGAGCAAAGCCCACATGACCAAATAATCCAAGTCCCAACTTTCAACACTGCTGTTCTGGGGACCATGTTCCCAACACATAAAATTTGGGGGACATATTCAAACTATAACACTGAATGTATATAACTGTCTCGCTCCCTAATGTGGTAGGATATGGAGTAATAGAGATCACTGAATGAGCAAACAGAATTATGAAGAGAATACTGAAAATTATAAGACCCCTGGGGTCAAAGGGGAAGTCAGTAATGGCTGCTGAGATGCCCTAGCAGTTCCTAACTCCATCTACTACGTTTACTCAAGTGGTAGCCCCTCCTCAATGCTTGAATAGCTACAGTGTCGGGGAACTCAGTGCCTCCCAAAGCAGCCCCCCCCCCCCGGTTGTGCATAGTGTACACACTTAGCTCTTCATAGCGTGATCAAATGTACTGTCCTGCCTCTACCTTCTGAATTCAAATCAACCATATTTCTTTCATCTCCTAGTGAAAAGCAGACATTCAGTATCTGAAGATAACTAGCATGTCCACTTAGGTTTGGTTTTCTTCAAACTATGCATCACCAGATCATTTATTAAGATTTGAATCACCTCCTGAAGACCTTCCCTGTATTCCTCCCCTGGCCTCTCTATGCATCCCCAAACCCCACTGTGCATAATTGTAACACTTCACTTAACCACAGTGATTTTAGAGTTCGTGGTAGGGTTGTCAGTTTTTCTTTTTGGACTGGGTATCTTCGAATTTTGGTGGCTTCCCAGAGCCTGGTACATGAATGTCCTCATGAGTAGATGAAAGAGTTAATGAGTGAGTCCTGGTAGGCAACTCATAAAGTCACCTCCTCAAAAATGAACAGGACTTCCAGAGCAGAACAGGCCTGGACCCCCCAGTCTAGGGTTCCAAATGCAGGTCTGGCCTCTGAGAGCTGTAATCCTTGCTCTGAAATGTACTGTATAAGCTTTACAAAAGCCTATAGAAACCACTAGTCTAATCCAAGTAACTGGAATTGGAATTTTAGTCCAGTATTTTGGCAGGGAAACATAAGTGTGAACCTCAGCTGTGTGTTCAAGTTTTTCTTTTTCCTTTGGCCATTACACTCTTGCATGGCTTGTTTTGCCCCAGGACCTGGAAGACTGACCTACCCAAAGGAATGTGCACCCTGGTATCCCTCTCTGTGGAGCATGAGGAAGCCCAGCTCATGGGTGGTGTACGGGCAGTGGTGATGGATTCTCAGTACCTGATAGAACCATGTGGCTCTGGCAAGTCCAGGCTGACCCACATCTGCAGGATAGACCTGAAGTAAGTAGCATCTCCTGGGCTCTAATGTACAGATCTCTTGTGCCAGGTTTAATAGGATAGAGTCTGTCACACTGATTTCTTATTTTCCTGTACTTTCTTTTCACTGTCATTAACAAGTTTGCTGGGGTGGCGAGATCGCTCAGGGGACTAAGTGCCTGCTTTGGCAAGTGCAGGGACTGGGCTTTGATTCCCAGTCCTCAATGCTGTGCCTGTCCTGCCCCCAAAGTGTGCTGAACCAGTGAGAGTGTGGGCATGGTGGCACACACCTGCAATCCCAGTGCTGGGGAGGCTGAAAACAGGAGGATCACAAGTCCAATCTGAGTAGTGAGACTCTGTAACAAATATACAAAATCAAACAAACAAACAAGTTTGCATAAGTGTTTATATATTCCTGTTCTCCCTCCTCTCTTCCTAAAATTCTGGCATTTCTCCTTTAGCTCTTAGTTCTCCTTTTTCTAATTTATTCACTTTTCTTGAAAAGCAAAAATTGTATATAGTTATAGCATATATAATTTGTTGATATGTGTTGTGGTATCCCCAAATGTACTGCCTCATATACTTATTTTTTGTGCTGAGAGTACTTAAGGTATAAAAGTACAAGATATTATTTTTAACTATAGTCACTATGTTATACTGTAGCTCTATTTAACTTATTATTCCAATCTTACTGAAATTTTGTACTCTTTGACCAACATCTATGTCCCAAATGACCAACATCCCCAGGCCCTGGTAGCCCCCATTCTACCCTCTACTTGGGTGAGTTCCACATTTTTAGGTTCCACATATAAATGAAAACAAGCATATTTGTCATTCAGTGCTGGCTTATTTAATTTAACATAGAGTCTTCCAGAGTCATCCATATTGTGACTAATGACAAGATCACTTTTTTTTTAAAGACCAAATGTTATTCCATTGCCACAGTTCCTTTATCCATCCATTCACCATTGGACACAGGTTAATTCCATGTTTTACTGTTCTCTCCAGTTATTATGTTTTTGTTTTAGAGGAAACTAACTTAAATCCAGCCCCTTGTAGGCAATCACAATGCTAAGTCAAGTTTTTGATCTTGGTAGACATAACTGTAATATTCTAAGTAAAGTTTAGGCTCAGTGTGTTAGGTTTTTCAGCACAGTAAAGAGACAAGAAAGATAAAAGAAGCTTTTATTGCAGAAATGCAGAAGGCCACAGGAAAGGACAGACATGGAGCTTCCAAGGGCCTGTTCTGAGATGGGGGGACAAGAAAGGCTATATATATAGGGCCAGGATGGGGGTGGGGTTTAGGAGGCAGCCTGCATGACGTGGCAGATAGTGATTGGGCAGTAGGCAAAAACAAAGAAATAGGATATTGTGAAAAGGAAGTAGGAAGTGTAATTTGACCATGGAGGAAGAAGGCAGAGCACAGTGCATGGTCTGCAGTGGCCTATACTATATTGGCTCACCACCATGATGACTTAGCAGAATTTTTATTAAGGTGGAGAAAACTCATCACAATGTGAATCTTCCAATTTTACCTTGGTGAGTTGGTATCATTTTAAATCATCTGACGAATACTGAAAACACAAACTGACTGCTAACAGGCAAGGTGCTGTCAAGGCACCTGTTGTTAGAATGAGGTCCTCTGAGCCTCATGGTAGCAGCCCCAGATTGTTTGCAAGTATGCTGGTGACCAGATCCTACTCTGACAAATGCTGTGATCTTCAAAATACTCTCCCACTGCCTTCCTCATTTCTTTCCTTGCAGAGGTCATTCCCCAGAATGGTACAGCAAAGGCTTTGGACATCTTTGTGCAGCAGAAGTTGCCAGGATTAGAAACTCTTTTCAGCCTATTATTGCAGAGGGTCCAGAAACTAAAATCTGAGTTGCCCCCAGTGTGACATCCAACTCAGGGAACAGGAAGCTGAAACAAACGCTGTGGCAGAGAGTGTGCATGTGAGAAAGCAAGAGCGAGGCACTGGTGGACATGGTTAATGCTTAAGAATGGAAACACTGAGGAGTCAGAATGTCGAAGATGCAAGAATCTTCTGAGAACTTTTCTAGCCATCCTGGAGATGGCTACATCCCTAGTAATATAATATTTTTAAAAACCAAAACATTAATCTATATTAGTTAAAATTAAATGGATTATTCTTGTGCATTGCCTAATTTGCTATTTAAAGGCTTCTAAGAAGCATATTCTTAACTGTAAATAAATGTATATGTAACATATGTACATATGTGTGTATATCTATCTTTACTGTATATGTGTAAAATATCGATTCTATAGATAATTGAGTGTCTGACTCAGTGAGTCTTTTCCTCACATAGCTCTTCCCAAGATGTTTTGGACCCCTTCTCCCCAATGTCCCATAAGCTGAAAAGAGCCTCCTGCTAACACCCAGGTGTGAACATGGATAGTCTATCCATCTATCTTGATATCCAGCCAAAGACTAGCTAACCAAAAAAATAGCGTGAAAGGGTCTTTATGCATTTTAATAGTTTGCTTTTGTTGTTCAAAACCTGAATGTAGAGTATTGGAGAAACACAAGGGAAAAAATATTTACTCCTCTTTAAAGCAGTGGGTGAGAAGTTACTGCCAAATTTGAAGCTTGATTACAAGTTGTCTTTGGACTCTGCAAATACAATTTCAGTGAGATATCAGATGGGCCACTGGAATAAACAGTGGTGACTGAAACAGAACCAGTTTCCCTCCAGGTAGGGTTGAATACCAGAGCCTTTTCATATTTACAGCCAAAGGGAGCCTCTGTGTTGTCTCAAGTTTTCATATATACTTTTTATAAGGTTATTAAATGTTCTTCTATTTGACCAGTGGCCTATGTGGTCACAGATAATCAGCATTTTCTTACCAATGTATTGCACTGAATTTGAACCCAGACACCAGACAAAAAGAAATGGTCTTTTAAGAGTCTTGGGCCATTGTTGCTTCAGGGAATTCATTTTGTGCTATGTATGATGCTCCTAAAAAATGATTCACTATAACGTTACAGTTTAAAAGAGATTTTTAACTAACACATGTCCAAAACTATATTCTTATTAATTAGTTTTAGAAAGTATAAACATATATTAATTCTATGTCTCTTCATTAGCTACCTATCCATTTGACCCTACCTTATTTATTAATATTGTACAGGCTAAGCAAATTGACTTTTCTTAACCAACTGTGAATGGATTTAGTTGGTTTTTTATTGTAATTCAACACTTGTAGAGAGAAAAATAACTTATTGTCTTTGAATTAAAGACCGAAACTTTCTTTGATTGTCCATAATAGAGACTGATATCATGGTTTAGTAACTGGTATTGGAAGAAAAGAAGCAAAACAAATGAATGTTTTCATTCTTTTTGTATAGTATGCATTTATGTAATACTTTCTCTTACCAACAAAGTGCAATTGTCATATTGGTAGGAATATGCTACCTGTGAGTTTGGTATGGTGCATGAGAAATCCTACTAGGAATGTTTCATTCCCACGTCCACCTAAGAAGGCAGCAGTAACCCACATTTCACTGTTTGGACTCTGTCAAGAAATTCACTTCTACCATCACATCTTAAATTAACCATATATGCCGGATCACTTCTTAGGTATTGATATGATGATTACTGAAGTTTAATCTAGCTAAACACTGGTCCCACTCCAGAAATGGGAGTGTGTTTAAAACAGCATCAGCACACTAGGATGCATGGCATTGTGTCCTACAATGCAGGCTTCTCCAACCTTAGTATGCACAGGAGCCCCCTGGGAACTGTGTTAGAATGCATGCTCTGGCTCAGGCTGTCTGGAGTGGGCCTGCCACTCTGCATTTCTCATGAGCCTCAGGAATGCCCATGCTGCTACCACAAGGACACACTGAGAAACAAAGACCCAGAGGATACTTAAAATAAAACCAAATATGACCCTATTTCTGACTCCCTTCTCTTCCAGTTACCTGACTTTAATTTTATGCATGTACTAATCACATCACTGCTGCTTAACAATATGGTGCATTTTTAAAATAAAGGGAGGAACAAAAGGAAAAAAGATGCATCAAGCTTATTTGTCAAATACTATAGTATTTTATGCATTGTTATCTTGCCAATGGAAATGAAATATATTGCATTTAAATATTATATTTATACCTCATGTATATTTTACCTCAATTGTTGGTATCATTCATCAATTGTAAATAACTAATTGCCAAGGTAAATAAATTTATATACATTAAATATTTCTTATTTTCGATAAAATACATGTTGACTTTCATGCTTTATTCTAAAAATGGAAAACTTGCTTTGTGATGAAGATTTCTCTTGAAGATACTGTGTCAGGAGCTTGCATTCTTGATACTATCAATATTGACTGTCAGCGTCATCTCCAAAATACAAGGACAGCGTTATCAGCAGACACTCACTAGCAGATTAGATGTTAACTAACCTCGGTCTAAAGTGTTAAAGTGATGGGTAGGAATTTTAAGCATATTCCATTATTTCAAAAATCTGAAAAGTTTTTAAACACATTTATAATATTAAATTCTTAGTGAACTCTTTAGCTATGTTTTATTTTTGTTGAGTGGACTGGAAATAGAGACTAGGTAAAATAACCTGCAGCTGTGCACAAGAACATGGAGTCACCGAGGATGACTCTGAGCTTCTGTCCTTGCATTTGTGCCCCAGAGGCTATAAAATACCTAAGAAAGCACTTAGCTGAACAACCAGGCACATTCAAATATTTTCAGCTAGTTTTAAGAACCACAGCAGCCCCAAAGACAATGTGGCCTCATAAAAATGATCCCAGCTCCACTGTCTGCTCACCACATGCATGCCCTCTCTGGTTGCTTGAAAGTTTTGCTTTCACAGGCAAAGGAGGAATTCAGTGGCCCCTTTTCTTCTCCTATTGCTGAGATCCAGCCTCAGTTTCCAGGGAGCAACAACCTGAGGAGAGGAAAGCGGTCGGCAAAGAAGAAGGTCTCAGAGAAACATTGGTTTAGGAGGGAAAAAGGGTGTGTCTCTTCAGCCCATAGCAAAATCAGTAGTCTTTATTTATACATGAGTGATTAAGCTTTCTTTATGCAAGATTAACAGATGTGTTTTTTTTAATCTCTAAGTGAAAAACAGTTTAAATTTTGATTAATATGAATACACAGTATAAATTACAAATAGTCATACAAACTTAACCATTGTTCTTTCTGTTCTATTTCTGCCCCGTTGCAACTCTGCTCTTGGGGTTGCTTTCTCACTACCTCGAAATCTTGACTCGAAACTTCCTTGGTATTGTTGAATATTCTTGGCTTAGTCTTGACCCTTTCTGTAGGTTTGCATGATAGGAAGCAAGACGTCAGTCTATAAAAGAACTTTATGCACTTAATTAAGCTATGCCAAAACCCTATGTGATTAATTGTGCACTCTCTTTCATGTGAATCATAAGCCTAACAATTTCTAGGGGGTTTCACATCCATATGAAGCTCTGCTTTGCAGATTCTCCAAACTTTTTTTTCAAAGTAGAGCTATTTTGTTTTTTTAAAGAGAATACAAATTAGAATAAAAACAAAATATGACAAGTGATACAAAATTTCACTTAATAAAGTAACATGAATTTCACAATATTTGTTGTAATACATAGTGTTTTCTTCCAACCAGTAATTCATATTACCAGTTATATGCATGCAAAAGTGGAAGAAGAAAGAAAAAAAAGAAAGAAATGTATAAGAAATTAAGAAGAGAAAAAGTGCAATCAAAAAAGGCAATAAAACATATTATTTTTCCATTTCTTGTCCTGCTTTGCTCCTTTTCCCCATTCCAGTTTTCTCACCTTTTCAACAGTTATTTACCATTTTCCAATATTTATTGTACATTTTGGATCCTATTTACTCTTTCAGCTTCTTATGCTAGGGAGACAATTTGATGTTTGCACATATGAGACATTTATTTTACTTATGAGTATGGTCTCAAGTTGCATCCATTTATCCATAGATGTCTTAAGTTTATCCATTTTTATAATTGAGTAGTATTCCTTTTTTTCCTATAATTTTATTGAGAAACAAATAGCAATGAGACAGTTTCAAACCAAATTGGTAGGACAGTTTCAATAATTATCACATTGCATACTCTTCCTAGTGGTTATTTGCTGTACAAGATGCAGACATGATATCCTATTTACAAACACTATTACAACAAATCTCTGTATTCCTTAAGAGAATGTAACTATATATCTATCTGAACCATTTTGAATACACCGATACAAAATGGACATTCATCTGTATCCCCTTTTTTGTTTAGTTCCATCATTTGAATATTATAGGTGTGTTAACTCAACAAAATATTCTAAAAGAGTCAAGTAGTCCATAATAGTATTGGGTCTTCCGCTTGACTGGCAATGTCAGAAATTGTTGACCTGAGTCCCCTACAGCTCAACATAACATCATGGCTTACTAGCCTTGCAGGGCCAATTAAGACTCAGAACATACAAGCACTTGTACTGTAACATCATGTAACTCAGTAGTGTCCCAAATTTTCTGATGAAGGAGATTATGGAGCCAAAGAGGAAAGTGGTCAGTGATGTAGAGTATGCCAAAGGAGAGTCACATGGAGAGAAAACATTCTCTCAAGCTTTCACAGAGAGCACATTGGCCAAGTCATGGCCATGACTCATCCACCTGGCTGACAGTGACAAAGAATCTACAATCTGAGGTACAGGATCTCAGGATAAATCAGAGGGGATTTGACTGACTTTATCAGACCCAAAAGCTACAACTCTTGTTGCATAGGTCTTCCTTTTTTTTTTTTTT